AAGCCACCAAGAGGCCCGAAGAGGCCTCCAAGAGTAGGGGAACGAAGAATGGCATAAACATAACAACTCGGAGATCCGCGCGGATTGTTCGGATCGGCGCCGGACCCCCCCTCATTGGCGCGCGGAGCGCGCCAAAGACGGCGACGGAGGCGCCGCCAGGGGCCCTCAGCGCCCATCCGAGAAATCTGCGCGGACCTCCGAGTTGTAATGTTTATGTTATTTCTTGTTTCCGAAAGAGGCCCCCGTGAGGCCTCCAAGAGGCCCCTACGAGGCCTCCGCGAGGCTCCCACCAGAGCCCGTTTCGCTAGTGTTTCTAAGGTTTGAGGGATGTGGGCGCTCTTGACTTCACACAGCTCCCCGCCGCTCCCACGCTGCCTCAGAGGCTTCCAAGCTCGCTCCAACATTGCCCAAGAGTTATGATGCTCCGACCTACTTTAGCCTTGACCGCCAGGAATAATTTCGAGAGCCCCCAAACAATACCGACATTCCAGGGTTTTCACGTGTCGGGCCCTGGGAGGCACTGTTTCGACACTGTTTCGACACTCGTTTGACACTTTTCCGGGTGCTCGAAATTATTTCTGGGATGTGGTCTTCAAGTAGGATGGGAACACCATAACCCAAGAGGCCACCAGGAGCGCCCCGGCCCATGGCAAGAGTCCCCTTAGAGGGCCCCAGAGGCCTCCAAGGCGGCCCCAGAGGCCCCCAAGACGGCGGTCCCAGCGACCTCCAGGACGCCCCAAAGGACCTCGGCCAGCGCTCCCCAGACGACCCCAAGAGCTAGCATTGATTGATCTGCATTACTCAGGAGGGCAAACAAAACATACAGACACAATTAATCGTCGATTCCCTGGAAAATATAGGAAAATATGGGAAGTGGGGGGGGAAGACGAAAACCCAAACAATATGGGAAACTATGGGGAATCTGTTTATTTCTGTGTGTTTATTTGTGTGTCCTGGGGCCCCTTCAGTTACGTTTTTGAATAATGCCCCAGACGGCCCGAGACATCTTCAATCTCCAAGAAGCTTCCACGAGGCCTCCCAACAGGCAAACTTCCTTGATGTGTCATTGGTTTTGAAGGATTTCGGATATCTTGCCTTCTCAGCTTCCCGCTGCTCCAGGGCGTCCCGGGAGGCCTGCGAGAACGCCAAAGGCTTGCCCAAGATGCCCCCCAAGCCCAAGAGGGCCCCAAGACGCCCATGGAGGCCCCCAAGGCGGTTCCCAAAGGGGTTCAGACCGGGGCCCCGAACGGGCATCTCGAGCCCTCGGCGCTCGGAAGCGTTTGGAAGCCCCAGTAGGCTCCCAAGATGCCCGCAGAGGCCTGCAAGGCGCCCCCACCACGAGGCCCCCAAGGGAGCGGCATTCTTTCTCGAAGGGCTTCGGGCATGCGGATGACCGTTTCGAGAGGCCATAAGGGGGGACCCTACAGAGTCCCAAGCTGGGCCTCGTGTGCCCCGAGGGCCCCATAGTCAGGCAACGATTTTCTATTCCTTGTCAAGTTTGATATACATATATATATATATATATATATATATACATACACATCTCTCTCTATATATATATATATATATATATACATATATCATCTGTTGTCCAACATTCGCCTGTAGGGGGACATGCCCGACCTGATCCTAGAGGACCCGACAGTGCTCCGAGATGTCCCGATGTGGCCCCTGGCCTGTATCAAAGCACGGAAGAGCAGGCAGCTTAGCCGGGCCGCAAGCCCCAGGCGATCGCAATAAACATGGATCAAGGGGGCGTGGATAAGCGACGGACACTGTTTCCATGGGGAATTTAGGATTCCCGCCGTCGAACGAGGCGGCATCAGCCGCATTTTGGGGAGGGCACCTCCCCCGATCCATGGATTAGGCGACCGCGCGCCAAATCCATGAATCGCTAATCCATGTTTGCGCGCCCCCGAGCTTAGCCGGGCCACAAGCCAATATTTGATGCAGGGTCAGTGTCCCTGCCTTGGGACGAGAGGCGAACGCTTCGCGGTGCAACAACAGTTCAGAGTTTGCAGCAGCAGTGCACGCCGGTCGTTGAAAGTAGGTATTTTTGGGTTTCCACATCCCACTCGATTTCAAGCGCCTTCCTACTTGAAGGACCGACATGATTTTGCTGTGTTTTGTTATTCTCTGGGAGGGCCTGGACCCAATCCACTTTATCCGCCCTCCTACTTAATGTTTTTACCTACTTCTTCCGACCGACGTGTACAGACATGGGTCAGCTCAAACGGCAGCATTCACGTTGCTGGCTTTGCCCGGCAGCGCGGCATGTTCCGTTCGGGGTCAGCGTCGTTACGCCGGACCGAGCGGGGAGCCGCTCCGTTGCATCTCCGCTCCAATATGAGTGCACGTGCCCATCATACATGCATGTATCAAGCAGTGACGAAGCGTCCTGGCTCGCTTATAGCCCTACCAAACAATGTTCTAAGAACCTGTTGTGGTTCCCACGAAATGTTCTTAGAACATTATGGTGGAGCTTGTCCTGGTTTAACACATCGGGTTTACTTTCTAAGAACATTGTTTTTGTTCTTAGAGCATTTCTGGGTTCTAAGAACATTTCGTGGTAGGACTATAGGAATGCAGGGACGGTCGGTCCCTGCTCAAGTTGCATCTCCGCTCTCATAGGAGTGCACGTGCCATTACACATGCGTGTAAGCCTTGCTACGGGCAGTTGCTGACCCCCTTTCCCCTGTTACGCTCGCTCGGCTCATCACCCACCCTGGCCAAGGCCTCCAGTCAAAAGAGACGACGGCTGCGAAGTTCAGTCATGCGCCCGTCTTAAGTCGTGTTGGTTCTCCTGCTTTATTCTGGCTCTCGAGGAGGTGGAGGAGGAGGAGGAGGGAGGAGGAGGAGGAGGAACACTTTTTGAGGGCATCTATGTTTGCCCACTCTCCGGGTTCAGTCTGGGTGCTTCTCCAAAACCATCCATGGTGCCATGATTGTACGGTTCAGTGGATATAACTGGACAGTTGCCCGGCACGTGTAGCATCTTTTTCGAAGACGTAGTCCGAGAGAGGAACGGGATGACGAAGATGCGTCGCCGCTGTCCTACAGCCTTGCCCTCCCGGGAGGTGCGCAGCACGCGCCCGTCAAAAGGGCCGATTGTGTGCGCCCGCGGATGGCTACGCACTCGGCTCTGCTGCAGCCGCTTTGGGTCGTGGTTCCGGCTTGGACGAGCGGGCAACGGGACGATTCGGGACAAGAAGTCCAGCTCAGCGGAACAAAAAGTGACATAAACATAAAATCTCGGAGGTCCGCGCGGATTTCTCGGATCGGCGCTGGACCCCCTTCCCTGGCGCGCGGAGCGCTAGGGGCGGCGCCAGAGGCGCCGCCGAGAAATCCGCGCGGACCCCCGAGTTGTCATGTTTATGCCACTTGTTGTTCCCCTAAGCTCAGCGTAACCGGTTTGCGTTGCGGGCGCAGTAGGTGGAGAGAGCTCGCACCAGCGGCATGCTCTTCGCACCTGAGTGTGTGCCCGAGGAGGAGGAGGAGGAGGAGCGAGGAGCGAAGAGCGAGAGCAGAAAGGACCGACCAGGCAATCACAGTGAGGTATGGATAGAGAAGTTGGCAGAAGAAAGCCAAGGGTCGAGCAGGGAGAATGGGAACCCGCAGCGGAAGTAGGCAGGTAGGCAGGCGAGGGTGGGGAGCAACGAAAAAAAGCGACAAGTAGGATGTAGCGAGCAGGACGCGTCCATAGCCATTTTGATTTAAGCCATTTATCGTGGCTGATTGTTCGTTACCGCGCGTTATTCGGGCTCCTTCGCATCCTGCGCAGCCATGTCGCTTGGACGTGCTGCCGTCGTGGTGGCGTTTGCGGGCCGCGCGGCTTCCCTCTTGATGCACGTGGACCAGGCCCCTGAGTTGGCTGGCCCAGGCTCGGACATGTTCAACACGTCGAGGGTCGCCATACAGTGGAGCGAGACGAGGCTGGGCCCGCCCGCGCTCGAGTCCGAGGCGTGCGTGGCCGCGTGGAACTTCTCCTTCCAGTCGGAGTGGAAGGAGAAGGACCCCATCATCTTCCCCGAGGCCGGCATCGGCGCCCGCCGACGCATGGTAGAAATGGACGGCATGGAGTACCAGCTCTTCCTCCCGCGAGAGTGGGGCAACAACTCGCTGTACCCCCACCCCACGGTCATCTACTTTCACAGCCATCCGGAGCGCAAGTGGAGCCTGATGAACTCGGAGAGCTTGCCTCGCATGCTGGCCAGGAACCAGAGCCAGTCCTTCGACAACCGCTCCTGCTGGTGCCTGCCAGAGGCTGGCTACGACGCCTACGCGGAGACCAACGACACGTCGAAGGCGTACGACGACGGCACGCCGGCGGCGCCCACGGGTTCCCCAATGGCCGACTGCACTTTTGCCGACACGTTCAACTCCCTGGTGATCATGCCCCAGGGCTGGGTCGGGTCCGAGACCCCCGGGTGGACCACCTCCCACTTCGCTACGATCAAGAACATCACGACGGCCATCATTCAGAAGTTCAACGGCGACGCGGACAAGATCATCGTGACGGGCACCGCAGAGGGCGGCGCTGGTGCCTTGGAGTTTGCCAAAACTTACCCGGACCTCGTTTCAGCCGCGATCATCACCGATGCGCCCTCTGCAACATCCGACTCGAGTCTGGAAGGGCTTCCTATCTACGTCACGGCCGACGGATCGATGGGTGACGCCGCCAGCGTGGACGCTTTGGTTGTGTCCTTGAAGGGACGCGCGTCGGGCGAGACCAAGTACACGCGCTACGCAACGGCGCCTTCGGCAGCCGACCCCGGCTTCAGTGCCGGTTACGGGCACAGCTCCGACATCATCTACCGCGACCCGCAGTTGTGGGCCTGGGCCTACTCGTTCAAGACCCAGGGCGGCCGCGAACGCTTGGGATTGGAGCCGCTGCCCTTCGTCCCCATGCACTGAGCAGCCACGCTGAGCCCCGGTGCGCGGCGCCCCGCGGGCTCCCCGAAGCCCGTCGTGCCTGCGTGCTGCCCCCTTTTGTGGATCGGCTTGCCCAGCGCGGATTGCGCCGCTTGGGCGAACGACGGGGTGCGTTGCACGCGCTCGAACGCCGCCCGCCTTCGGATGGGCGCCGCCTCGGACCGACTCCGCGCGTGCTGCGCTCTGCCCTCGCGGAGTGGTTCGCCCCTTCCCGCAACAGACAACATGTAGCGAGCAGGACGCGCGAGAAGAAATGCTGGATGGCGCGGCCAAGCAAGACGTAGAAGGAGCCGCCTCGAACACCACTCGCAGCTTCGTGGCACAGGCGTGAACTCCACGAGGCATCGTGACATGAACCCAATGTGGCGTGATGGCACCGTGGCCTGCGCGAGAACCTGAGCGCGCGCGAAGCGCGCGTGTGGGGTTTCCAGTGTGTGTGTGGGTGTGCGTGTGTGTATATATACACATATAGATGTATATATACATTTTTATATACATATATAAGTGTATTTCTGTAGGTAGATGCACACATATCTATATACACACATATATATATGTAAATCAAGATCGACCCACATGCACATACACACACAAATTTATATAGGTGTACATATGTGTATGTATGTGTATATGTACACATATGTATATGTATTTGTTCGCATCTGCATACATATCTAAAGATGTGTCTCCCAGGAGGCGAGGCCTGGCCAGGCACAGGGACCTCCGCGCCCCATGAGAGGCCCAGCGCTCCCATGCCGTTCCGGGATCGCTGCTCGGCGCGCTGCAGGCAGGGAAGACGGCCTCCTGACACCCCCAGAGGCCTTCACGACTCTCAAAAGGCCTCCGACAGCACTCCCGAGAAAATCCCAAGGGGTTAAACTCGTCAAAGTCTTTTCCGGACAACATCCCGAGGGGCCAAACGTGCAGTCTTACGATCTACGACTCTTCGGCTTTCACGGCGTTCAAGGCAGCCCAGGAGGCCCCAAGAAGCGTGGGTGGGGCGGGAGTGGGAGTGGGAGAGAAAAGCAGGAGGATACGACGTGGAGAGCATTGAATGAGTGCTGAATGAGTGCCACAAGGCGCGTGTGTCTGTCTCTGATGGCGGCCTCGTGGAATATTATATCTTTCCCGCAGGCGCGGTGTTTGTTCAGTAGTACACATGACCTACACATATGCAAATATCGTGTTTATGTACATGTATGTGCATACACACATATATATATATATATATATATACACAACACATTTCTGTATAGATATGTACTTATGCGCCGATGTAAATTCATGCGTATACATATACATGTTTGCGTATGTACAGATGGTGTCAGAGTGATCGGCACTGGCCGCCCCCGGGACACAGTGACAAATGAGCGCCGCCCCCCTTGGGCACCAAGTTTAGCCCCTAGGTCTGTGGCTCGTGTTCTGCCTTTTCGGGAGGCCCGCTGAGTAAACATATACCGGGGGACTGGGCCCAGGGGATCTGAGCCCCGGAGCCCCGATCGCAAATGTGGGGCCCAACCATGTAGATCACCGCCCCTTAGACCTGGAGATCTAAGTTAAAGTATAAGCTCTGCGTTAAGTGCAATGTTAGACCAGGTGGCGATCTACGGGATGATTCAGTTAAGTTAAGGAGCGGCTCTATGGGTCGGATCTAAAGTGCGATTCAGGGGCGGATGCTTCTTAAGCCCCGTCCGATCACCCCAGAACCAACACCCCACTGAATACACAGGGGCGTTGCGGGTGAAGCCCTCGCCCCACCCCACTCCACAGGAGGGATGGACAAGGGCTAAGAGAATGAGGAGGAATCTGGGAGGTAGGAAGGGGGAGAAGGAGGAGGAGGAGGAAGAAAAAGAAGAGGGGGCGGGAAAGGGGAAGGGGGAGGAGGAGATGAAAGAGAAGGCTGAGGGCGAGTATTTTCCAACTCGGTCGTGGAACAGAAAGAGCGGGTTAGGACGAATGGACGAGGAGGAAGAGGGGGAGGATTGCAAGAACGATAATGAAGGCGAGGGGGGGCGGTACGAGGGAGAGGAGGGGACAAGGGGGGGGGAGGTGGGAGTATAAGAGGGCTGGCCGGAGGGAAGAAGACGGAGGGGCACAGGGGAGAAGGCAGCCCCCCCCCCCCTCGTTTGGTCCTCGAGCGCGCCGCTGTCACCGAGCGGCCAGCTCGGGCCACGCCGCAGCGCGGAGGAGGGGCAGGGCGTCGGGGCAGCCTGGTGGAGGGAGGAGGGGTGACAGGGCAGAGAGGTGAGCAGACTCTCCACCAGTTGAGGGTGGTCATCCTTCCTGCTCCTCCATCCTGCTTGTCACCTCGTTCTCATCTGCTTCCTCCCTCTCCTCTTCAAGATTTCGAGGGGCTGCCGAGTCCCTGCTGCACAACACTCACGCAGGGGAACTACGCATACGCTCTGCACTGCACCTTAGCGGGCGCATTGACGTTGACTCCCTCAGGCGGATGTCCTGTCCTGTCCTGTCATCATCACGCTCCTCCTCCTCCTCCTCCTCCTGATTTTATCATCGTTATCCCTGCTGCCGCCTGTTGCTGATGCAGCTGCGTATAACGCTGCACTCTTACACGTCGAACGCGTGCCATACACGTTGGCAAGGTGTTGGTCCTGACATGCGAGCCCCAGCTCACTCAGTAACACATTCGTGTTAAGACAAGGGCTTTCACTTACTGGGGCATGAAGTATCACAGGAAATTGTTTTTTTGCAGTTCGGCGAACTCCGCGAGGATGTTGCAATGTTTCATACCAGCATCGTCCATCCAGCAGGCCCCCCTACCGGGGTGGAGCCAACGGTTCCTCGAACTCCAGTGCCGAGCTCAGTGCAATTTTGGCCTTGCTTGAAAAAGGCAAGGGCCTTCGCGACCTGCGAGTAGGCCTGTGCGGGTGCAAATCGCAAACAGTTTGTCCATCGATGTTCCCGGCACGCCGCAGCCGGCCAAAGGCAGGAGCACTTCCCGTGCTGCCGAGTCTACGATACCACTCATCTCAAGAAGCGTTTCGTGGAGACCCAGCGCTGCGCCACGCAGCTCACCATCCGAACGGTGCGATGCCCACGCGCGCAACACTGGTGCGACCAGGCTGCTGGTCTGAGAGCCCCTGCCATCTTGTAAACTCCTCCCACGGATGTTCATGTGTGCATGTCGTGGGCGTGATGCTCGTGTAGATACATGCCCCGTGGGATTAGATCTCCGACCATACCCGCGCCATGTTCTCCTTGAGCGTCCCGCCGAGAATGCGGAAGCACAACGGCTATAACACACGTGATAGTGCATACTGGCACGGGCCAGTCCGAGGCATGTGAAGTTCGTCAGGTTCGACGCTTTAACGTGAATGTAAAAAGAGAACGCTTTGGACAGCAACTTGCTGCCCACCTGAAACTCTGTCATCGACCCCGCGCGCCGAACAGCTTCAATATGCTTTCCCCTGCATGGCGAGACACCGTCCTGCACAGAGCGTGAGTCCAGCACCGCGACCCTGCACTCGCTGGTTTTGGGCAGTACAGAGCAGCGGCGACCATGCCAGTTATGCGCGTGCCCCAGCAAGTGCTTACACATTGCGCGCACGGTGCAGCAGCTGTCTCACATGGTATGCTCATTTTTCTCTGCGCGGTTCGCAATAGTTAGATGGTATATGCCAGGATGCTGGAGGTCGAACAGCAATCACGGACCCGACCCAGGACACTTTAAATGACAACCGACCGATTTACCTAGAGGGTAAGTCGAGGGGGTCAGTTCTTTGTTTTCCAAAGCGCAAAACGAGCCCCAAAATAATTCAGCCGAGTTCATGAAACTTCGGCTGTAGTATCCCCGATAATTTGCAGCATTGGAGGCCCAAAAAGGGGGCCCTGGGCGAGTCCAACAACATGGGGCTAGACTTATATGTATCTTATATGCATCCTACATGCATGTGTCGATGTGTCTTACGTGATTGTTTTAACGATGATGCAACTCTGAGGTACGTTTTTATTAGCACTGGGAATTCGGATCTACATCTAAGACAAGTCTGATACACATCGAGGAGATACCCCAGTCCAAATCCAATTTCTGTCGATCTTCAAAATTAAGACACCTCCTGTAGGACAATTCTACAATGAACCGAAGATGAGCAGACTGCCTGTCTGGATGGGGGTTCATGGGCGCGGAGGGGAGGGGGCGAGGTGGGAGGCGCGGTGTGAGGTATCGATGGATTTCAGGTTGTGGTGGAGGGGCGGTGGGAGGTGTCGGTAGGTGTAAGGAATCATCGTATCCAGGTCAGAAGGATTCGGTACAAGCCTTCTGGGGTCGGCGGATTTTGAGGCTCCTTCTGGTGTTGGGCGGGGCATTTTTTGAACGTTTGCTCCCATTACGCCCCAAGGGGGGCCATCCGGACGCCATCCTATCGAGGATGGACGCCCCCCGATCGTATATCCCAGGGGTTAGGACGAGGACACATCCGTTCCAGATCGTTCTTGAACGCTCTCAGAGCATTACGGAACGCTTTGAGAAGGCCCGGCGCCCGAGACATCCTCCAGAGCCGCCTTCTCTCAGGGATCCTCAATTCTGATTCTGGAAGCGTGGGCGTGGAGCTCAAAAAAAGTACACTTTTGTCCGTAGCCATTTCGGCTCAAGCCAGTTTGTCTCAAGGGATGGACCGCCGCTCAACTGCCGCGGTGGCTGGTCTCGCTGCGCTCGCCATCCTGGCCGCCAGACTGGCAAGCCCAGTAGCTCCATACCAGATCCTGGCATGGAATGTCCTGAAGCTGGCGCCCCTGCCAGCAGCGCGACCTGGGGCGGCGTTCACGGCCGCCCGCCTGCGGCCCGACGGCAGCTGCGCCGTCGCACCCGACGGGCCGGTGCGCTTCCGATTCGCGCCCGTGGACGTCGCGGCGACCGTGGGGACCAAGATGTCGGGCTTCAGGCACTGGGTGAGGTCTGCGGACGGCGCCCTCGTCAGCGAGCGGGTCGTGAACGGCTCCGAGCCGCAGCTGGAGCTGCAGGGCCTGCCGCCCGGGCGGCACAGGTGGGGCGTGCAGTGGTGGCCCGCGGACCCCGCTGGCGCCGTATCCGCCGAGGCCGAGTCCGAGGTCCTCGTGGCGCCCCGGGGCGACGCGTGGGACGGGGTCCCCTGGCTTGGGTCGCACGCCGCTAACGAGTTCCGCCTCGAGGCGCGCACGCCGGCCGCGAGCGACGCGGAGCTCCTCGTGGCCACCCTCGGCTTCGGCTACGCGAAGGTGAACGGCCGCGAGGTGTCCAAGGACGTGCTCAGCTACTCCGGCTGGACGGTCACCGAGAAGCGCGTGCTCTACCGCAGCTACAATGTCACGGGCCTCCTGCGCAGCGACGGGCTGGCCGAGATCTTCGTCGGGCTGGGCTGCGGGTACCGCTGCGACGCGAAGGACCAGTCGCGCTTCCCCGGCAAGACGCCGCCCCCGCACGACGCGGTCCCGAAGGTGTTCCGCCTGCAGCTGCGAGTTGGCGGGGAGCTCGTGGTGCACAGCGGCACCCCCGGGTGGCAGTCGCGAGCCGGCCCAGTCGTCGACGATTCGGTGTACGACGGGGAGACATACAACCAGACGGCTGCCACAGTGTGGAGCCAAGCCGCCGCGCTCGCGGCGGGCCAGGGCCCTGCTGGCGCCATGGTCCCCGCGAGCTTCCCCGGCGTCCAGGTCACGCAGGTCGACGCCCCAGCAGCCGTCACCGAGCCAGCTCCTGGCGTGTTCGTGGTCGACTTTGGGTCCAACGTGGCTGGCGTCTGCCGCATTTCCATCCCCTCGGCGACCACCGTCGTGCTTAGGCACGGCGAGGTGCTGGAACACGCGTTCATGCCCGGCGTGCTGGAGCCCAGGCGGGGGCGCGTGTATTTCGGCAACCTCCGCTCGGCGAAGCAGACCGACACCATCGTTGCAGCGGGCCCTCTTACAGATTGGTGGCCTCGGTTCACCTACCACGGCTTCCGGTACGTCGAAGTCACGGGCTTCCCGGGGATGCTGACAGCCGCTGGCATATCTAGGCTGCGCCTCCACACTGCCCTGGAGCCGAAGGCGCAAGTCACCTTCGGTGATGAAGTGCTGCAGGCCATTCACGAGGGCTCGCGTGGCTCGCAACTGTCGAACCTGATACAGCTGCCAACAGATTGTCCGCAGCGCGATGAGCGGGTCGGCTGGCTGGGGGACGCCAGCCTCTCCGCGGAGTCGATGTTCCTCCACTTCGACTACGCAGGAATGGCCGCGGCGTTCACCGACTCAATCGTAGACAGCATGGGCGAAGACGGTACTCTGCCGGACATCGTGCCGTGGGTGCGGCCATCGCCGCCTCGCCCAGGAGACTCCTCGTGGACAGCAGGCCTTCTGGAGATCCTGACGCAGGCTTGGAGAGTGGATGGCGACCTTGAGCCAGCGAGATCGTGCTGGCCAGCCATCCTAAAGCATGCGGCGCGCGTGGAGAGCCAGTTTCTGAAGTTGAAAACCTTCAAGAAGTGGCCGGAGAAACACGGCGACTGGGCTGCGCCGCCGCACGCGCTTGGGGCCCCTACAGGCCGGAATCCCAAAGAGCGAGAGACGGCCTCGCACGGATTCGCCGCCGCTTTCTCCGCGACCCGCACCATGCAGCAAGCGGCCGATCTCGCAGGCGCGCTTGGCCTGGAAGCCGAGGCGAACCTCTCGGCCGTTGCTCGCAGGATGCGGGAGGAATTTCACAACAGCTTCTTCCACCAGGGGAAACGATCTTACGACACCGGCACAATGTTGAGCTACGTGCTGCCCCTTGCATTGGGCGCGGTGCCGCGCGACGTAGACGCCGAGGTATTCCGCGGCCTGTTGGACCACATTGCCCGCAAGAATGGCACATGGTCTGGCGGCATAATCAACAACCGTTTCCTGTTCGACCTGCTGGCCGACCATGGCCACGCAGACCTCGCGCTGGCCATGCTGAGGCGCAGGGACTACCCGTCGTACGGCTACATGTACTTCAACGACCTGGAGCCCGCGAGGGAGTGCATGTGGGAGGTCCCCGACGCCCCCTTCCAGGGCGACCATATCAACTCCAGGAACCACCACATGTATTCCTCCGTCGGCTCCTACCTCGTCCGCCGGCTGGCGGGTCTGAGCAGCGGCCCTGGTGCGGGGGAGCTGACAGCGGTCGTGGGCCCGAGGGGCCTCCCGAACGCGACGGCGCGCCTGCGCACGCCGCGCGGTGAGGCCGCATGGGCCTGGGCGTGGACCGGCGACGGCCTCTCGGCAGAGCTCCTCGTGCCCGTGGGGATGCGCGCGAAGGTCTGGCTGCCCGGTGAGCTGTACGTCCGGTTGCCGCCAGGGGCCTCGTCGGGGGGGGGGGGGGCGCGGGCCCCGACCCGTCGGCTCCGCAGGGGATAGCGCTGCCCTCTGGGCGCCACTCGCTGGCGGCGCGGCCCAGAAACAGCAAAAAAAAAACTCAAAATAAGTACACCAAGACGCTTTGATCATCGTCCTGGAGGCATCCTCGACCCAGGTCTACCCACCCGCTTGGATCTTCGTCCTGCCCTCGTCTCTTAGGGGGGCCCTCCGGACGCACCCCTACTCGTCGAGGCTTGGCGCCACGAGGAGGACGAGGAGGAGCTCCGCAGCCGCTGGCGCGGAGGAGGAGGACGAGGAGGAGGACGAGGAGGAGGAGACGAGGAGGAGGAGGAGGAGGAGGAGGAGGAGGAGGAGGAGGAGGAGGAGGAGCTCCGCAGCCGCTGGCGGCCCCGGCCGCGCCGCTCCAGGGCGCCTCGGGCGGCTTCCTCCGCGGCGCGCGGGGGCGGCGGCCGCTGGCCGCGGCGGCGCCTCCGCGGCGCCTCCGCGGCGCCTCCGCGGCGCCTCCGCGGCGCGCGCGGGGGCGGCTCCCGGCCCCGAGGCGCCGAAGCACAGGGCGCCGCGCGAGCTGCGGGAGGCGCGGCGCGCGGCGGGCGTCGTCCGATGGGCCCGTTTTGTCACCACCGCCACCATAAAGCAAGTTGGAGGGGGAGGGGGTTCTCATCTTCCTCCTCCTCCTCCTCCTCCTCCTCCTCCTCCTCCTTCCCCTTATCCAACTTGTGGTGGTGGAACACAGGCCCATCATCATCGTGTCTCGGAGGAGGAGTCGCCCACGGCTTGGCATCGCTCGGACGTGTGGATGTTGCTTCGGCGGGGGCCATCGTCGAGGAGCACATTGTGCACCATCGGGCAAGAGCAAAGAAGCGCGCGAAACCGGACCGAGCGATGGCGTTTTCGGGCCGGGGGGGAGGAGGAGGGGGAGGGGGGGGAGGGGGAGGGGAGGAGGAGGAGAGGAGGGGGAGGAGGAGGAGGGGGAGGAGGGAGGAGGAGGAGGAGGAGGAGGGAGGAGGAGGAGGAGGAGGAGGAGGAGGAGGAGGAGGAGGAGGAGGAGAGGAGGAGGAGGAGGAGGAGGAGGTGTTCTGGCGTCTTCGGGCTCTCGGGGCCCTCCGCGGGCCTCGGGGCCGTCAGAGAACGACTCGAGAACGACTCGAGTTGATCCGTTCCTCCTGCTCCTGCTCCTCCTCCTCCTCCTCCTCCTCCTCCTCCTCTCCTCTCCCTCCTCCCTCCTCCCTCCTCCCTCCTCCCTCCTCCCTCCTCCTCCTCCCTCCTCCTCCTCCTCCTCCTCCTCCTCCTCCTCCTCCTGATCCCGTCCTGGGGGGAGACGCCGGGGGTCCCGAACCCGTCTGTTCGGCCCATCCCGCCACCACGCCTGGGTTTCGAGGATGCCTGGGAGGATCACTTGTGAGGCCTCTCGGATGCCTCCCAGAGGCGGCGTTGGTGGTGTCTTGGGGTGCCTTTGGCGCCCCCTGGGGCCTCTTGGGCTCACCTCGGGGGCGGCATCTGGGGGGATCTCGTGACCATCCTGGGGCGGAGGGCTGCAAATGTCAGGAGGAGAAGAAACACACAGACACAATTAATCCTCGATTCCCCAGAAAATATAGGAAAATATTGGAAGCGGGGGGGAAGACAGAGACCCAGAAAATATGTGGAAATATGGGACATACTTTTATTTGTGTGTATTTATTTGTGTGTCCTGGGGCCCCTTCAGAATGTCAGTTCCGGTTCCCCATCTTGTGGGGCCTGTCTTGGGGGCCTTCTTGGGGGCCTTCTTGGGCCGCTTCAGACGGTCTGCAGCCCGAGCAGGCGGGGAGGCGCAGACCGTACACCAACATATGAACGTCGACAATTTTGTCTCCTTGTGGCCGCCCTCCAGGGCCTCTAAGACTGAATGACCAAGAGGCGCCCAATGGGGCTCCAGGGAGGTCCCGGGGGCCACCTGAAGTCATGTTGGACTTGCATATCCCGAACAGTCTTTGCGTGGCCTTTCGACAGGTCACGGGGGGGCCCTCCGAGAGTGCCCAGCAGCGCCCAGGAGCGCCCGGAACTCTGGGCCGTGGACCCCTTCAGGGATATTTGCAGAAGTCAACGCCGAGATCTCGAAGGGACCTGAGGACACCAATTCGTGCCTCAGGGCACGATGGCGGATACATGTACATCTATATATATATATATATATATATATGTATGTATGAATATGTGCACGCACAGACATGTATTTCGACCTACCTACCTACGTTTCTACCGACCGACCCACCCACCCTCCTACCTGCCTACCTGCCTACCTACATGATTACCTCCCTCCCTCCCTCCGTCCATGCATGCATGCACGTATGCATGCATGCATACATACACACATACACAATGCAAACATACGCACACATGCACTCATTAATACATGCATGTGTACACACATACGTACATACATACACGCATGCATGCATACGTACGTACCTGCATACATACATACGCAAATGCATACACACTAACCTGCAAAACTACATACACATACACATACGTACATCCATACATCCGTACACACATACATACATACATACATACAAACAAACAAACAAACAAACAAACAAACATGCATCCATACATGCATACATGCATGCATACATACCTACATACAAACATACACCTATACGGACATACGTGCGTATACACTTACACCACAACACACATACACATCTATACCTACATACATACTGACATACATACATCTATGCATATGTATATGTACGTACGTGTGTACGTACGTTCGTACATACATACATACGCACATACACATGTCTTTATATATATGCATACATACACATCCACGTTCGAGTATTGATGCAGAAACATGTGAGTCGGTATAGCGGCAACGCTTCTCGTCCTGGAGAGTCCTTCCTACCCTGGGATATGGGCGTGGAGTGTTTGTTGTACAACCGTCATTATCGCACGGTTTCGGGCCCTGGGACCGTCACGGTCCGATTCTGACTCGAAATTGGCGTCCCAAAAACGGATCAAGCCATTTCTGTGGGGGATTGAGAATGGCAGGATAGTGGTCCTAGCAAGCCAGGCAGTCAGGCGCCCAATTTGCGCACAGACAGTGCATATCTTCTTGAATTACGCAAACGAACAATGCATAAGTAGTCCGACAGCGTGTTGAACAACACACGCCGCCCCTTGTAGTTTCGGGCGTCCGAATTGGCGCTTGCGGTACCAGTGCCGTGGTGTGTTCCCTTCATGTTTACACACGAGGTCACACAGGATATGACCATTGGGGAGGTGTGACATGCTGCTCTATAAGCTGTATTTTTCTGATACTCGGTTGACGCTCTGTGGACGTGCGCTTGTACGTGCCCGTACTTCAACACGTGATACATGTGAAACTCCCATCTGTCGCGAGCAGACCGCTTGAAATAGTGCACGCTTGTTAAGGTCTGCGTTGAGAAACCCCACCAGAAGTACAGCTACACCGAATAATCTTACTTTTTTTTACGTTTGATGATATTCGCACGATTCAGGAGCATTATCCAAATATTCTGAACACCATTCTTTGGTTCGCCAATCTCCACGGATTTCAACACATGCCCATATGGTGACCACGCTCGACCACTGTTGCCCGCTGACATTCTAGCCGTTTTGTTTCCGTTCGATGTAATTGAAGTCCCTGCTGGTATGACCAAATCGAGTTCCATTTGGAATTTGTTATGGCTTGCACTCCGAAAAACTGCGTCGTCCGCGTATAGCAAGCCACCACAGCACGCACTCTGGTTCTTCATTTTCGTCTGCCATAGTTCTGAACATTTTGTCAACGCCGAGCATCACGACCGCTCCCAGAATTCATAGAAGAACACGTTGCGCTCCTTGCTTTTTGATTTTTCAACGTCGAGTCGTTTCCCGGATCTTGTAAGTAGAAGCCTTGTTCCACCACGCATTGATTTGTAGATAAAAGATGAAAGAAAGAAACACGCTGATTGATGACGTGGATGCTCAAGTGAACCTTCAAGAAACCATTGGTGAACGTCAGGTTTGCGACGATGTTGGTACATCAGTTTGCTTGGATCAGTCCAAATTTCTGTTATGCCGCACCGTAGTATAGTACGAGCCGTCCCACAAGCAGTTCGCAGCATACGGGCACGGTTTCCGCGGTGCTCAGCCTGTCAGTAGCAAATCCATCCCGACGAGGTCACGCGTGGGGCCGAAGTCCAGAACCCCAAGTCGAGAGCCAGTCTACGCTGCATCTCTAAACGTTGGCGTTGGAAGTGCGGGCACTCCCCAGACGTGTCGAAACGATGACACAAGATTTCCACAATTCTTGCACCAGTGTCCCGTGCGCCATCGAGTCTCTGACGATACCGCTCCAATTCGGTATATCGAGATCAAAGTGTGGTCTGACTCCTCCAATGAAGCCATCCATTCGACAAGCTGCTTACAATGATTCAAATCCACATCAGCGTCATCAATATCCTGTGCGTCGTGTCGGTCACGCTGCACAATCTGGAGACATCTGACCCGTGCAATGCTACGTATGGTATGCGAGGCGGCGTCGTCGACCCGGTTTTCCACCGCCTTGAATGTTGTATGATCGCTCGATGGATCCAGATCTAGTAGCAGGCCCTGTTGGTCATTGTAGCGGATGTATTTCCAACCCCAGAGCTTGCACATGATACGTCGTACTCGTCTCCAAGTGAGCTGAGTGTCCTACACGTTCTTGGTGGCAAGGGCCAGCACTCGGAAAGACTGGATGCAACAATACGTTCTGGCACCACCACCTGCCCATGCACACCACCATGTGCAGCTGGTCCTTCAGACGGGCTTGCCCAAGGACTTGGCCATGGCCGCAGGTGGTGGTACGACAAGTGGGGAGGCCCTCAACCACAACGGTCTCAGATGTGCCATCGCCAATTTCAGCCTGACCTGGTTTGGCCCAGGGATACCAGCGAGGACTGACATGCCACGGGTAAGCTTCTGCCAACCTTCCCGAGGTAGAATCGGATGAACTGGATTAGTCGTATAACATTCAACACCGAGATGTTCAATGAGCTTCGGCTGCGCGTCTTGATCTGACCACACCTGTCGTCTGGCCGCTATCTCTGAATTCTGCGCCACGAAGGACCTGTCGTCCAAGAACAACTGATTCTTGCATAGCGGTTGCCATGGAACCAGCGTAGGAATCATCGCAGACGGGGCCATTTAATCTCCTTGCGGGAGTCCGCAAAGTGTATGCTGGGCGCCCTTGGTCCTGACCGCGCCGCCAGGCAGGTAAACATAACTGCGTCGGGTAACTCAGATCGATCCAATGCTTCCGGTGCGATCGAGTGAGGGATGCGGCCGTAAGCCCTCGAGAGATCCAGTTCGGCACCGTCAGTCCCGTCTGCGCAGTCTGCCAGCCATTTGGATATAGCATGAGGCACTGAGCTTCCCTTCCTATTCGCCCAGTGTTTCTCAGAGGGGGGTCAGGAGTGGCATTCGATAGAGCTCGGAGCCGAGTTCTGAGAAGGACCGATCCAACCGCAATGGGTCTGGTGTTCGCTTCGTTTTTTTTTTCTTCGGAAGGCCTGCAACCCTCCATCCAAAAATCAAGTCCAGGGCCTCGCCGGGCAGCAGTCCACGTAGAAGCACCGCCCCCTGCTTCGTCAGCACCGACAGGTGGTAGAGCTCGCGGGTGATTTGAGGGGACATCTTTGATCGATTACGTTGTTTTCGGAACGACCAACCATCGAGGCCTGGACAACCTGTCGCCGAATTAATAGCGTCCAGGAACTCGTCGTAGGATGGTGTTCAGTCCTGAGGGACGAAAGACTTCGGGGAAGTAATGCTTTGCGCATGCTGCTTCCAGGCGTCGAGGCGCGGTTCATCATTGTAGTCCGGTGGTTCCCATAGCTGGTCCCATTGACCCCTCATCTCGTGCACGGCGCAAAATTTCAAGGGAAACGTTGTTTTAAAGAGGGGAGTGGTGAGTCGCCAGATGTCCGAAGACCAAGGGGGGAAACCGCTGTCGGTACTGTCTGGCGCCGTTCTCCTGCAGGCGTCGCTGCTCGATGCTGATGCCCAAGGAGAGAGAGTTGAGCGCGCCGGCGTAGCTCCATGAGCCAGTCGTTGGTAGGTGAAGCAGGTGGAAAAGTCAAGCGCTGGCTTCGCCGCGTGCACAGAGTGCGTGGTGCATAGCATACTGGTGCCCAACACGCCATGCCGCAGCTGCTCGGCAAGCCGTCGATGCAGGCGTAGTGAGCGTCGTTGTGCGATGGACTGGTCCAGCCGATGAGCTGGTGAGTGTCTAGTGGCCCTGGTGGTCGGAGTGGAGCCCTTGCCTCGCTCGGCGGCCGGCCCCATCGCATCGCGCCCTCGTTCCACTGCAATACTCATAACGCGCTCAGCTCGCTCGTGCCAATCCACTGGGCCACCAGCTCTGGCTCCTGAAGGTCATCGACATCCGGAGGTCCGAAGTCTGTATCCACCCGCTCCTGCACGAGACGTCGTTCGTCATTCGACTGTGCTTTGAATGTGGAGGTTGCGTGACACATGCGCATGGGTGCTACGCTGACGAAGGCGAGTGCCAGCTCGCAGGTCACCAGACCACTACGAGGCGCACCGGGGAGTAAGTGCGTGCTCTTCTGCAGGGGAGGCGAGCCATCACCCGGATTCAGCGCGCGCGTCGGGGACGTTGAGACCGCGGTAGTGCACGCGTCAATCCCAGGGGCTCCACGGCACATGGTCCACGACGTCATCATAGGTGCGCGGGCTGGCCTCCAGTCGAGTTCGCCGAAGACGTAGAGTGGATGACCTAGGTGCCCCAGGGTCTGCAGTGATGCGGGAGCCTGATTGAACCATGATCTGTCGAGTTCCTGCGGACCATACACCGAGACAAGAGACGCTAATGCAGCCCTAATGCCCACAGCCCGATGGCGTAGGACATCGTCGCGGATAATCGCAGTACGGCCCAGAGAGCGCCCCCCCCATAGCATCGCGCATCTTCCATGGCGAGACCCGGCGGTGAGTTGGCCCCGAAGTCGAAGTTGAGGCAGGGGCTCTGGACCAAAAAATATGGAACATTCGAGCGAGGCAACCTCAAGGCCCACCGAGGGCGGAGTTCGCGGTGACGGGTCGCCTGCAAGCATATCGCGCCGGCCGTAGCTGTCGGTCGACTCTCCTCGAGCATTGTCGAGCGTGCTTTGCTCGGTACTTTGGCGTTGTTCGAAAATTCTCGAACTTGGGGAACTGGCGCTTGGAAATCTGCTGGCCCCCGACCATCATCATATTGCGCTGCTCGACGGCAGCGCTTGCCTGAAGACGAACCTCTCGAAGGTGGAGATCTTTTTGGCCCTGCTGGCGTCGGTGAAACGAACGTTGGTGGTGCTGCGGGCGTCGCTGGCGTCGACATTGGCTCGGCACTCGCTGGCGATGCCTTCTGGCGTTTAGGTGAATCTCATCGAAACATAATCTGCATGGTCTGCACATACAGCCATTGAATTCGGCTCTGCACATGCAGGCGTTGAATTGCATCTTGCATTCTTGGTCGGAGGAGCCGCTGGCCACGCATCTGCAGCGGACGCTCGCGATGAGCACGCTGGAGCGGTGGCCGCGCTCTTCCGCGGCCGCCTGGCACCGGGTTTCCAGGGGGAGGCGCTCCCGCGAGGGGGGCGCCCTCCTCCCGGGAGCGGGCCCCGTCTCGACGGCGCAGCCGATGGCGGTGGGCGCGCCGCTGGCGGGGGGCGCCCCCTCGCTCGAGCCCCGTCGCCATTGCTGGCTGTCGGGGGGCTCCCGACGAGGAGGAGGACGTCGTGGCCGCCGCTGGCCGCCGTCGCAGAACTCGGCCCAGCTGCTGTCCGTCGCGGGTGCAACCCCGCGGGCCGCGAGCTGTGACCTTGTAGTTGTCGCCCCTTTCCTTCTAAGAAGGAAGCGCGTGGTTCTGGTAGCGCTTCCTGCCGTTGTGACGGTAGTGCTCGGCGCCGCAGCCTGGTGGGATTCGCCGCTCGCGTGAGCACCTCGTAGCGCGAGCATGCCTTTCCTTGGCGCTCTCGTCGGCCTTGTCTTGGCCTAGCACGGGCGCCGGTGCATCCTTGACCGCGACGCCTGGCGGGCGGATTCTTCAGGGCATGTTCTTGAACCTACAGAGGACCAGACTGCGACCACACCTGCTGCAGGTAAAGTGCGCCTGGAGCTGGCAGGAAAAATGGCGAGGCGACGCCGGGCCCTCGGCGGGCGCGCAGGTCGATGGGTCGGCCTCCGCAGAAGCGGCAGCCCTCCAGGTAGCCCAACGTGCCCAAGCTTTTCAGATCTTCGCCCTCCGAAGTGCAGCCGCGCATGCAGCTCCCACGCCGCGGCGCTGGCGTCGAACTGCCGGTGGCTCTTTGGGTGGGCGGCTGCCCTGGCAGTCTCGCCAATGAGCATGCGCCTGCTTTAAATTCGCACTGGGGGTCTGCCCCTCCAGGTCGGGCTTCCGCCCGCAAAAACAGTTGTAGCAGTCAAAGGTGCCTGCCACTTGCTCAGATGCAACGCCTTGGAATTCATCCTCGCGTAGGCCGAGCGCACTCTGAGCAGCGCGCGTGGATGGAGGCGTTGTCGACGCTTTCGCATTAGCGTTTGGCAAACCCAGCATTCTCTGGACGCGCTGAGCGGCCGTTGAGACGACTTCGCAAGAGACGGCGCAGGTAGGCCCAATGCACTGCGTGCGCCTTTCGATGACAAGTGTGGAATTGTGCTGCGACCACCTCCTGTGAAGTGGCGCGGGCAGGGCTTCGCTTTCTTCCTCTGGTCGGCCTCGATGTCCGTGGGGGGCGGCTTCGTGCCCGCCAGGGGCTGGTAGTGGCCCTCGACAGGGATGAGCCAGCACTTCGGTCTTGACGTTCGCAAAAACGTGAACAGGTGCCACTGGTCCTTCTGCTGCTTTCATGCACTGAAATCGGTCTGCTTGACTTGGGCCGCCGCAGCGATCGCTCTCGATGCCGCCAACGTGCCTGCCTTCGCCTGGTCAGCCGCCTCGTCTTTGTGGAACTTCAGCTCGAGCATCTTGCCGCCGCCGCGTTCCTCAAGGTCGCCTGGAGCGCGCAACCTGGCCCGATGTCTGCTTGCAAACGGTTTCGCGTTAGTCTGGCTTGTGCAGGCATGGAAACTGGCATTGCAAGGGAAACGCCCCCCTCTACCTCCACTAGCTCGTGTCTTGGCATTGTTGTTACAAAGGCGGTGTCGCTGTCGTCGGATCAGATTTGGTTCCAACTTGAGCAAGCTTGGCGGCTTGGTCTTCTGTGCGTCGCCCTCCTCCTCCTCCCCCTTCATCCGGACGTTTTCGCCCCTGTCCGCAGTTGGAGTGGCTGGCGCGGGCGCATCGGGAGTCGACCTTGCCGCCGTCGATGCCGGGGTCGATGCCGCATCTGCGGGCGCGAAATCTTGGCGAACCCCAGGCCGTCGTCGGCGTTTTCTTGGGTGTCGGTCTGCTCTGTTCGCGGCGCGGCGGTGCAAGCGAGGCCATGACTCCCGACTTGAACTCCATGACTTGTCCAGTGACCAGCGTCTCAAGACTGCTCGGAGGAGCCACTCACGAGCCCCGCAGCGCGCGATGCTAGGTATATTCTTGAAACCCCGGCCCGCAGCCCAAGCTCGCACTTGATCGTCCTGAGTCCAAGAAGTCGGCGTCTTCTCTAGGATCCAGCGCGGCTGCATGTCCGCAGCCACTACGGTAGCGCAAAGAACCCCCAAGGAGCTGGAGTCACTCGGCCGATGCACCAGCCTTCCTGAAGCTGCTGTGGCCACCCCTGCGACTCGAGAAGTATGCGTGATGATCTTCGCCCTCCCGGAGTCGATGCCACACTGGAACCAACCTCGACCCTTGTTGGTTCACGCAGACTCCAGTAAAATTTGAAACTCTTGAAGTCCTGGGCGCGCGGGGCGCGTGCGATCGAGGCCGCGGTCGCATCGCTTTCGCACGCCACCGCCCGTTTAGTCTTCGAAACTTGATTGACCAAATCCGCATTCATGACTGAGGTCGCCAAAGAGGTGGGCTTCTCTGCAGCCTGCTGGGACAGCCAATCCTCCGCGAAGTCCCTCGCGATGGGGATGCGGAAACTCACAGTCTTCTCGGTGGTCCCGGCGTCTTCTGCGCCGTCCTTCACTCGCGAAGGGAGGGTGGCACGGCGTGGGGCCTGCGGCCCCGTGAATAGAATTCGGGCCCCGTGTTGGACAGCGCCGCCAGTCGGGCGCTCGATGGTGATCTCTTGCTCAAGCCAACCCTCGCGAAGCGTCTTCTCCCCGAAGAGAGCGCGCGTTGCC